GTTACTGTTAGAAAACACTCTCTGTCTTGTTAAGAGAATGTTCCAGATGTCTCACCCCTCCTTTTTTTCTCTCTCAGTCTTCTATATATACAACGTATTCTCTCTGAATCCCCCCTTCTGTATCCATCTCTCTCTCTCTTGATATTATGTTTTAAATATGTCTTACTTATATGCGAGGTATGCATGCTTAAATGTATACATTAGCTTCTCTTGGTTCAAATGTCCCAAATAAGGACATGATAGCTAGGAATGAGGTTCGTGATGAAACTCTGAAGACAGTTCAGCATTCTTCGCAAAAGTCTATTCCTAATATGTCCATGTTTTTCTGTACATGTGGCTATTTTATATAAACACATGTTCTTGGCCAAAGATCCTACGTGTATGTTATTCATATCCTCATTGGTTAAGAGGATGAAACTCCCCTCAACATATGCCTATATAATATCTGTATTTCTATTAATAAATTGAAGTATTGAGGATACATTTGACTGTGTGTTTTCTTACTTCCCGGCCGTCTATCTACACTTTAAGTAACTGAGAATTCTTCAAGGTGGCAAAGAGAATTTACAGAGGGACCAAATTGTTATTCTTTATTAACATCGATGAACTTCAAAAAAACGGTGAGCAGCAAGTAACGTTAAAAGAGATTTTGAATCCAGTAGGAGGTGATAGTCTGTTAATACAATTTCTAAAAAGAACTCATAGAATATAGAATATTATTATTATTGTTATTCCTATTCTCTGGGCTGAGAGGGACTTCGGCTGTAGATGGAGGAGCTGAACACGCAGCAACATCGAAAGCTTGAGTTCTGATAGGTCTGGGAGAAGGGAATTCAAGTCTCTGATCCATTGCTTCAGTAGATGGCGGTAATGCTCACTGTGATTGCGAGCCGCCAATAAAAAAACGAATAAGGAGAAGAAGAAGAAGATTCATCTTCTAAGTGCATGAATGCAGGACTTTTATTTTGAAATGTGGGCAATACTGGCCGGAAACACTAGCGCACATACTACATACCGTCGGTTTATTTACACATTTAAGTGTTTTTAAGGTGAAGACTTAAGCTGTCGCTTATGCCAGGGACACAGCTGTATACATTTTTAATAAAGTCAAGGTTTAGCGAAGGTCGGTATTCATTACATTTGGCGGAAAGACACAGCACATGTAGTCACGAAAGCAGCAGTGCTGACTAATGACTGCGAAATTCACAACTAAATCTAACTGAATCGAGGTAAATAAACTAGGCCTACATGTATTTACATAATATGCAAATGCATTTTCCATGCCGGATCCTGCGTATTTGTATATGCAAATAAATGTATATGTATATAGTAATAACGGTATGTTTTACCATAATGGATGGATGTAGTCAGGCAACATGCAGTGTGTGAAACTGCCCATCAGTGTTACAGTGGAGATCAATCTGCTGCTGGTGGCAGTGACCGTTTCAGCGCTCGTGACCAGACTGTGTGGCATTCACCTTCCTAAAGCTGTTGTGTAAGTCTTCCTTTAATTGTCTTTTCTTTTTCTTTTTCTAGTTATTTTCATTCTTTGAATTTTGTGGATTAAAAGAAATGCACATATGTATATATCATCTTTGCATACTGCTACAGGTTTGATGAAGTTTATTACGGACAGTTCCTGTCTCTGTACATGAAGCAAGTGTTTTTCATTGATGAGAGTGGTCCACCTTTTGGCCACATGATACTAGCTTTAGGAGGTGAGAAGATATTTGATACTTTATAAATTATATTCATGAAGCCACTTTGTGTATTTACTAATGCATATTATTTATCTTTGCAGCGTATTTAGGAGGATTTGATGGCAACTTTGTTTGGAACAGGATTGGAGCAGGTGATCATCTCATACAGGTTTATGCTGAGCTGACAAAGCAAAATAACTCTTCATGTACAGACATACCTTCCAGTTTTTACTGTCTCTAAGCCAATTCTAACTTCTTCTACCCCTTGTGGTCACTTCTGACCGGATAATTTTACATTTTGCATTTTTTAAAATCATAGCTTCACCAGAATGGTACGGAACTTGGTGACTTTTATGGCACTTGGTTTGTGAACATAAAAAAAATTGAGGGCAAAAAACGCTATTTGGTCGTAAAAAAAAAAGTCACACTCATGGTCTTCATTCAAAAATGACCGATCATAGGAAATTAAGAACGAAAATACAGAACATTTTTGTGCGTACAATCTACAAATCCCCCACAATGCACAGCAATGAAGGGGTGAAACTCTAAAACATCTAGCGTGCAAAATCAACACACCAACTCTCACACACACACACACCTATGAATTGGTGTGACTGTAACGCTGCAACTATGTAAAAAAAAAAATCAATAATTCAACTACAATGCAGTGAAAAAGTGGACAGCAAGGAAGGGGTTACACTCTAAAACATCAAGAATTTGTTAAGTAAAACAGATACATCCACTCACTTACACACACTCACAGTCACACACATACAGAATTATACACACTCAAACGAATTGGTATGGCTATAACCATATGGCCAAAATGAGTCAAAAGACTGAAATAGGGTTCAAATCGGAGCAGACCCAGAAGGATTAAGCTCTAATAAAGCGTTCCTGTTAATTTTTGTTACATTATTGTTACAATAATGCAAAAACCTACATTTCAAATCAGAATTTAAAACAATATAAACCTTGACAAAAAGTAGTCTTTGAGAATGCCTTAATATCCATTTAAATCCACAACCTAATAAAAGTAAACAAGTATGAATAAAAACAACCAGGGTATTCACAAGCCTCTCTATAGAGTCCTATACAGGAATCTAGTGGTTACATCGTGAAATTACAGGTTTTTCTTTTTTTGCTCTCACCAGGAGGTGCTATTTTCTGCCTTAAAAAATTGGATTTTAAAGGCCTAGTCTCTATTTAAATCTGAAATACTGCATTGATTGAAAAATAATTGTAAAAAAATGTGTGTACAGTACTATTTTCAATGGGAAAACTTAATCATAATTGCATAAATATTAATTAGTACCATAAAATTCTCTCAAAATACAAAAGAAAAGATATTATTGAACAAAATGATATTAGATTGATTTTACTGAAGAAAAAAAAGTTACATTTCAGGTTGACTGCGAAGACCGTGAGTGTGACTCCCAAATGAGGAGCGCACAAGTGCTAGAGGAGTTGCAGTATGTTAAACTATTTTAGTGCCACTTGGTAGATAGACAGTCAGAACACGGACCCCCTGTTAGATATAGTGTTGCATTTTAAGTCTGGTCCAATACCATGCATCTAGTACTATATTAATGTATTTACATGCTTTGCTATGATGCTTTCATTTCAAAGCCATTAAAATAATCATTATTGATGCACATATAGTCATATACTTTGAATTGGACTTTTTCTTCAAATATGAGATGAACAGTGAAACATTTGACCTTAATTTTGTATTTATATTTTCACACTTTTTTTTTTTTTTTACACACACACTATTGAGATCGCACAGTAAATGGCGAATCCCTGTTCTAGACCTTGAAGACACCCCATTGTTTAACACCCCACATGTTGATAAGATATTCCTCTAGTATTTACTGTATGCTGAAAAACAGGTTGAGGGCCACTAGAGCAAATGAAAACTAGTATGGCACAGTCTTTTAGGCTGTTCTGACTAATGCAGTATTTTCAATAAGTGATCAGAACCCGAAATGACTGATTTGCAATGTCCCAGCAACCACCTAGCAATGTTTACATTGCATCAAGCTACATGACACACTAAGTCTTATATAACCTTAAAAATGGTTGTGAATGTTCAGGCAAGACTTTGTCAAGACAACATTTAAACTTTCCTTTTGTTTTACATAGCACAGGCATTAGTAATTGCATTACTCTTACTGATTTTGGGTCTATTGTAGAATACACCAGTAATGTTCCTGTTTGGAGCCTTCGGGTAATACCGGCCCTTGCTGGCTCTTTTTGTATACCTCTTGCTTATCTTCTGGTGGTGCAGCTTGGATATTCCCATTCCTCAGCACTGGGGGCCTGTGTGCTCCTTCTCATGGGTAAGTGCTTAGCATATCATTTTCAAATCATTGCCTAATGATGGTTTTTCCTGCCTGTTACTGTAGGTTAAATAGTTTTGTTTCATTTTTACAGAAAACTCCTTGATTGTGCAATCACGCTTTATGCTGCTGGAGTCTGTTCTAATCTTTTTCCTGCTGTTAGCTGTACTGTCTTACCTCCGCTTTTACAAAGCACACAAGTAAGAATAGTTGATATCCGTTTTGTCAGTCTCAGATCTGGATTGTCCTCATTTGTAAGTCACTTTGGATAAAAAAGTAAATGGATTGTCTTGTCAGCCTTCTGTGACTGTAATGCTATTTGCCCCAATTTCATGGTAATGTGTCATGTGCTTTCTCTTCTTTCAGTTCATCTTTTAGGTGGTTTTGGCTCGTGACCTGTGGGGTCAGTTGTGCATGTGGAATTGGGTATGTACGGTCATAAAAAAAAAATGTTTTGAACATGATTTTTTACTTTTGTGAAGCGCCACTCACGTTTTCTTCAGAAAGTGCAAAAATCTAGTTTAACGTGCTCTGCAAATTAAATTTAAGTAGTGCCAAATGGTTGGGTGGGGTTTCTTTTTTTGGCTTGTTTTTCAGGGTAAAGTACATGGGTATGTTCACATACTTTTTACTGCTAGGCCTGGCAGCTGTACACACCTGGCATGTTATTGGAGATCGAACCTTAAGCCATGTGAGTTTTAGTTATCAAACATGTTGGGTTTTACAGCACTATGATTTTGCACATTATGATTTTGTGATCTGTGTGAAAAGGGCAAAGTAGTGGTGCAGATTTTGGTTCGCTTCCTGGCTCTTGTGGTGTTACCTGTCATCATGTACCTTGGATTTTTCTACATCCATCTTACGCTGCTGTATCGCAGTGGACCACATGACCAGATGATGAGCAGTGCTTTTCAAGCAAGTCTAGAGGTACAGATCAGTTTCTTGAAAGTACAAAAGTTTGTGGTTGGTGAGAGTCTCTTATGTTTAATGCCCACCAAGACAGCATTTATTTGATCAAAGCACAGTAAAACAGCAATATTGTGAAATATTACTTTTTAAACTGTTTTTTATTCAAATTTTATTTATTTAAAATTTAAAGCTGTTTTTTGTTTTAATATATTTAAAGGGGTCATATGATGCTTTTTTTTAAAGATCATTATTTGGTGTCGGTCGTCCATAAAATGCATTGCTGTTCTGTTGTAAGTAATCTTAAAGATTCCTAAATGCATCTACTTTCGGAAGGCCAAATAAACTGCTTTCGTCTAGAAACACACAGCGTCTCCCTGACATGGCTGCTTCAACACTAACTGTGGTTACTGAAACCACGCCTTCTTTCTTTGCGTGCACATTTGGGCGGCATTATGCTAATATTTCCACATAGTGAGGTAGATATGTGGGGGAGTCTTAACTTTGATAAAGAATATCTCTTTGGTTTTGAGACTTTAGTCTTTGCAACTTCAGGGATCTTATCTATGCACAATCAGCTTGTAACACTCCAAAGAGAAAGGAAAACTTGAAATCCCATCATACAACCCCTTTAAAATTTTAATTTATTCTTGTGATGCCAAAGCTGAATTTTCAGCAGCCATTACTCCACTGTCACATGATCTTTCAGAAATCTTTAAAGTGCCCCTATTATGGGTTATGAAAGGTTCATATTTTGTTTTTGGGAGTCCCCAACAACAGGTTGACATGCATGCAAGGTCAAAAAACACTTTCATTGTCTTATAATATGCATTTATGGTTTACCTTATTTGCTCAACGACTCCCAAACGATTCGCTCAACGATTCATTTTTCCAAACCCCTCCTTTGCGTGACTCTAATCTGCAGTGATTGGTCCGAGTGGTCTAATTTTCGTGTCATCTTGCCTGTAATGCCTGATAAAGCAGCTCAGTGCTGCTTTGTGTACAGCGTTACTGGGTAAACAGCTATTTTACCTCCAAAAGCGGCACCTAGTGGCAAAGAATGAATTTGCATTTTCATTCAGACCAATGCGAAAAGACTAACAAGTGGGCGGGCAATATGCTAATATTTCATGCTGAAGTCAACATGAAACGGCTTGGGATTCGTTTTAAAAACGACTCGTTTAAATGATTCAGAGTCAACTCTTTCTTTTGAATCAATTTTCAACAATTTACTTGCTGAAAAAAGTGATGATTTCTTTAAAAAGAAAAGAAATTGCTGATACCAAACTTTTGAAGGGTAATGTTCATAATGTATTTAAACAGATTTGGTTTAATCCACAGAAGTGAAGTGACATGTGGCCAAGTATGGTGACCCATACTAGGAATTAGTGCTCTGCATTTATCCCATCCAAAGTGCACACACACAGCAGTGAACACACACACACACCCGGAGCAATGGGCAGCCATTTTTTTTGCTGTGGCGCCCGGGGAGCGGTTGGGGGTGCGGTGCCTTGCTCAAGGGCACCTCAGTTAGGCCACGACTTCCCACGGTGTAACCTATCTGAGTGGTCAACATCTCCTTTATTTCTCCCATTTCTCCTATAAAGGGCGGTTTAGCGCGGATCACTGAGGGGCAGCCCTTGGATGTTGCATTCGGCTCACAGGTCACTCTCCGCACCGTGTCCAGTAAACCTGTTCCATGTTGGCTTCACTCCCACAAGGCTAACTATCCAGTCAGGTGAGCCATCAGGACTCTGTCACAAAGCCGCAGGTTCAAGGTGACATAATCCTAAACGACCACATCTTCATGCTGATCTTTGCTAATTATCTATGCTTAAAGGTATGAAAATGGCCGTGGTAGCTCCCACCAGCAGCAGGTGACCTGCTATCCTTTTAAAGATGTCAACAACTGGTGGATTATTAAAGACCCTGGACGGTATGTTGATTTAAAAGAATAGTTCACCCAAAAAAAAAAAAAATTGCTGAACATTCACTGACTCTCAGGGCATCCAAGATGTAGATGAGTCTGAGAAATTTAGAAGTGAATGGGTGCCGCCATAATCCGAGTTCAGGAGCTGATGAAAACAATACAATAATCCACAAGCAATCCATACGACCCCAGTCCATCAATTAACATCTTTTGAAGTGAAAAGCTGCGTGTTTGTTTATTTTAACTTTAAACTGTCGCATCTGGCCTAAGTAACAATCTATAATCCATAATAATGCTTCCTCCAGTGAAAAAGTCCATCCCCTGTTGTCCTCTCACATCAAAATCCACTGGCATATTGATTCAATCTTGACTTTTTCGTTATTGTAACAAAGTTTGTAGGTTCGGGAAGAAGGAGGCGGGAACCGGCGAACACTTAAACAAAACTTTAATAATAAAATAAACACAAAATAGCGCGACAGCCCCTCACGGATGACTGTTGCGCACAAACAGAACCAAAACACAAAATAAAATCCAGGCCTGGTCCTCTCTCGTCCAACACTGTCGTCACTCCTCCTTTTATCCTTCCGGAGCTCCTCCGTGGGACTCGAGACCGGAGAGTGGCGCAGGTGTCGCGCATTAGCATTTACTCCACCGGCCTCGCTCCGTTCCCACGACTCTCGGCCCCGCCCCTCTCGTCACAGTTATTTTAGCCAGAAGCAATGGTTAAGTTACAAAGTGTTTTGATGAATTTATTACAAAGAGGCAGCTTTTTGCATTAATTGATGGACTAGAGTCGCGTGAATTTCTTAAAAATTATTATGTTTTATCAGCTGTTTGGACTGTCATTCTGATGGCACCCATTCACTGCAGAGGATCACGTGATGTGATGCTAAATTTCTCCAGATCTGTTCCCAAGAAGAAACAAACTCATCTACATTTTGGATGGCCTGAGGTTGAGTAAATTTTCAGCAAATTAAAATTTTTGGGTGAACTACTCCTTTAATAAATATAGCATTACTAAAAATTACTTCGTGAATTTCATATGACCCATGGGCTGCAGCTAAATATTTTACATGAATTGTAATTGTAATTTTAAACCCCAGGCACAGTCTCGTGGTCCGCAGCCCACCCAGACCTATCAGGCATGGAGATATTATTCAGCTGCTGCATGGAATGACCACTCGCTATCTGAACACGTAATAATTCCACCATCATTAGATTTGTTAAAGTTACATGTTTTTATTTACATCAATATCAATTAAAATACATTTAGTAAAATTATTTTGATATTTTATGATCAATTAATAATAATAATAATAATGTTTATATTTTTTTTGTAAACTGTTTAAGATAGTAGTAGCAATAACTTGGCTATGCTTTGTTTCCAAGACATGATGTTGCAGCCCCCATGAGTCCTCACTCACAGGAAGTGTCTGGCTACATAGACTTTAATGTATCTATGCCAGCTCAGAATCTATGGAGAGTGGTAAGATCTGAGACTCATAAGTCTATAATACATGTTCACATTTACTCGAAATTTGTTTTATGATACATTATTTTCATTGCACTATAGGACATAGTGAACAGGGAGTCTGATAGAGAGATCTGGAAGACGATTTTATCAGAGGTGCGACTAGTCCATGTGAACACCTCAGCTGTTTTAAAGGTTTGTATATTAGTACAGTCTGTACAGGAAAAAAGGAGTAATAATAAAACAGTTTCCAGAAAAAATGTGATATACAGTATCTCATAGAAGTGAGTACACCCCTCACATTTTTGTAAATATTTTATTATATCTTTTCATGTGACAACACTGAAGAAATGACACTTGGCTACAATATAAAGTAGTGAGTGTACAGCTTGTATAACAGTGTAAATTTGCTGTCCCCTCAAAATAACTCAACACACAGCCATTAATGTTTAAACCGCTGGCCTCAAAAGTGAGTACACCCCTAAGTGAAAATGTCCAAATTAGGCCCAAATTGTCAATGTTTTGTGTGGCCACCATTATTTTCCAGCACTGCCTTAATCCTCTTGGACATGGAGTTCACCAGAGCTTCACAGGTTGCCACTTGAGTCCTCTTCCACTCCTCCATGACGACATCACAGAGATGGTGGATGTTAGAGACCTTGAGATGCTCAATAGGGTTGCCGCCACCATGTCCTTAGTCTGCTTGTTTGTACTCACTTCTGTGAGATACTGTATATGTGTGTGTGTGTACAGGTATATCAATAGTGATTGTTGCATTGTAAAAACCTATCCATCTCCACTCCCCTGATCCCTAAACCCACCCATCTCCACCCCTAAACCTACCCGTCTCCACCCCCAATCCCTAAACCCACCCATCTCCACCCCCTGATCCCTAAACCCACCCATCTCCACCCCCTAGATGTGGATCCAACCACGTCCCCTGGATCTTGTGTTCTGCAGTGAGGGGCTACTGCAAAAAACTCAGACATTTCCTGAAACATCTCCTTTTATGTTCCACAGAAGAAAGTCATATAGCTTTAGAACAAAATGAGGGTGATGGGCGGGTTATCTCTTTAAAAGTGTTATTTATAACTGTTCTGTAATGTTCTGCAGCTCAGTGGAGCATCTTTGCCTGAGTGGGGTTTCAAACAGCTGGAGGTGGTTGGGGATAAGATTTATAAAGGCTACCAGCAGAGCAGCATGTGGAACGTGGAGGAGCATCGCTATGGCAGAAGTATGAGAATTAACATCTGTATATATTTTCATATTGCTTTTGTGTTCTTCCTTGATTAAACACATCTATACAGGTCAGGAACAGAAGGAAAGGGAGTTGGAGTTGAAATCACCTACACACAGCGACATCAAGAGAAACCTCACTTTTATGGCCAAATGTCTTGAGCTGCAGGTGAATATTAAATATGAATAATGGTCCTGATGTCAATCATCAGAAAAGCCATTTAGAGCTGGTGTTGTATGTTTGAGTAACAGTGGAAGATGCTGACAGTAAAGAATGAAGAGTCTGAGCACAAATATAGTTCATCACCTCTTGAATGGATCACAATGGACACCAACATTGCATACTGGCTTCATCCTTCAAGTAATGTATGTCAACATCATTCTGTTGGTTTTTCTTTTATTTCTTTGTGTTTGACAGAATGAATATGAGGCTAATCTAATCTGTGCTATGTTTAATACAGGCACAAATTCAGCTGATTGGGAATATTGTTAATTGGACCATTGCAAACCTTTCACTGGTTGTTTACTGTCTTATGATTCTAACCTACTTACCAAGACGACGGAGGAAAGTTGAAGACATTCCTCAAGGTTTGTGCTTGGAAGTACTGCCATATGATTTGATCTGATTGTATCATTCATGTCTGTTGCACAGACAGTGAGGGAGACGTTGCACAAAGTTCAATATTGGGGATAGAGTTTATTCTCTGACATTAACTGTGAGCAATAATAATAGAGATGTTTGCTTCACCATCACCTTTAATAAACTCTTCTTTTCCCACTTTTTCTTCTCTCTTAGACTCTTGGGAACAGCTGGTTTTGGCTGGTGTCATTTGTTTTGGAGGCTGGGCAGTGAATTACCTGCCATTCTTCCTAATGGAGAAGACTCTGTTTCTGTATCACTATCTTCCAGCACTCACCTTTAAGATCTTGCAGATACCTATAGTCATAGAGCACCTGTACATCCATGTATTGAGGTAAGAGTTCTAATTTCTAAGATTTTTAATGTTTTAGAAAGACGTGTCTTATGCTCACCAATCATAAAAACAGTGCAAACAGTAATAATGTGAAATATTACAATTTACAATAACTGTTTTGTATTTGAATATACTGTTCAGCAGTCATTACTCCAGTCATACGATCCTTCAAAAATAATTCTAATATGCTGATTTGCTGCTCAAGAAACATTTCTTATCATTGTTGAGCACAGTTGTACTGCTTAATATTTTTGAGCAAACAATGATACATTTTTTTTCCAGGATTCTTTGATAAATAGAAAGTAAAAAAAAAAAATTATTTATAAGTTTATAAAGCATTTATTTTAAATAGAAATCTTATATGACATTGAATATTTTTTGGTTAATTACATACAAGTAAATAAATACAAGTATTGATTTGTTTAAAAAAAATGTTACTAACTCGAAACTTTTGAATCATGGTGTATGTGAATGAAACCTGTATCTTTATCATTGTGTCACTCCAGTGTAAATAACTGTCTATGCTCGTATCTGTATGTCATTCGGTTTCTCAGATCCCCAGCTCAAAGGAAAGCATTTGGTGGTGTTATTCTGGCAGTCCTTTGTTCAGTATACATGTCCTACCACAACTTGAGTCCTCTAACCTACGGCCAGCCAGCATTATCGTCAGACGAGCTTGCTGCACTGCGCTGGAGAGAGAGTTGGGATATTCTCCTAAGGAAACGCTGAAATCCATTTTTTTTTCTTTAAGAATGGGAGCTTCAGTAAGTTCATGATGATGTCAAATCTAAAGCCAAGGCAGCTGGTAGTGTGAAATACGGTTTCTAGGGTCTAGAGTACCCAAATTTAAAAATGTGAAATACTCTTTAATGAGAACTCATGCTGCTCAATCTCAAAACTCTAAACCAAATGGACTGTAAAGCACTATTTAGTGCTTAATTTATCATGCTCTTATGTTTACATATGTGACCCTGGACCACAAAACCAGTCTTAAGTCGCTTGGGGATATTTGTAGCAATAGCCCAAAATAAATTTGTATAGGTCAAAACTCGAAAAGGCGATTTTCTCAGTATTTCGATTTTTTGCACCCTCAGATTCCAGATTTTCAAATAGTTGTATCTCGGCTAAATATTATCCTATCCTAACAAACCATACATCAATGGAAAGCTCATTTAGTCAGATTTCGGATGATGTATACATCTCAATTTCGAAAAATTGACACTTAAGACACTTGTGGTCCAGGGTCACATATTATTCTGTTTGTATGGCAATTTTATTGTATTGTTTTAGAGACTTGTAAAACTAATAAGATGGGTTGCATTTATTAGAATTGGCTTTTATTTAATCCTTGCACAACACTAACCAATTAAACTTGAAAATATGGAATAAACATTTTTTATATCATCAAACTTTGTATTAGCCTATTCATAGCAGCCATTATTTTAATCCTTGCATGAATCCAACAACATGGAACAGATTAGCGTGTAAATGTTGAGTTAGCACAGTTGAAAGACAAGTCCATGTAGTGTCCCTTCTCTTTGAGGGTGTTTAATGCCTCTGCTTATATTGTCAGTGTTCATAAATGTCTCACGGTCATTCAGAGTTGAGTGAAGCGAGGGTTTTTAGCTGACTCTGCCAGTGGTCATTCCACAGCTGCAGCTGTCTTTCCTGAGCGTCACACTCTCGCTGGGCTTTGAACAGCTCCTCCTGAACCCTCTGCCCATAGTGCTGGGGGAAGATTAACAGTTGCAAAAGATGAACACTAAAAATATATATTTACGTATGTTCGTATTCTTTAGTTCATCCAAAAATGAAAATTGTCATCATTTACTCAAGTTGTTCCAAACCTGTATGAGTTCCTTTCTTTTTACAGTTTATGGTAGCCATTGACTCCCATATTATGGAAAAAAAAAATACTATGGAAGTCAGTGGCTACTGTCAACTGTTTGGTCACCAACATTCTTAAAAATAACTTATTTTGTGTTCAACAGAGTAAAGACATTCATACAGGTTTGGAACAACTTGAGGGTGAGTAAATTATGACAATTTTTATTTTTGGATGAACTATGCCTTTAAAATTCAACCTGCAGGTCTTTAGGTGCAATCCAAAATTAAAACCAAAAAAGCTACAGCTTGCAAATTATTAATGCATGATGTGTCAGGCCTCTGAATGGATGAACTAGCATCTGTCGCAGCCTCATTTGATCTGTAGGTACTTTACAGCTCCAATATAGTTAGATACTGTTGTAAAGGCTAGTACATAAAGCTCATTTACAGCTGTTGTATGTTGGTCCTATTGTACTAAGCACAAAAGTCTGTTTCATGCGCTTATCAGGCACGTTTAGACAAGAACAAATGCTATATCCAACTCATCTGAAATGAACTTGCCTCATGCACTGCGTCTCGCTCCTCAATGGCCTTAAGATGCCCTAGTGTGGTTTTAGCAGTTGTGATGGTGGCCGTTTCCTGAGATTGTTTATGAAATGAGCTGCCATCAGTGGATCCAAAATAACAAATGCCTGACCATGTTCTACAAAACAACACATGCAATTCAGCATTTAACATTCATAATGTCCCATATAAAATTTAAAGAAATGGTGTTTGAAAGACATCTATTTTGAGTACAATATTTCCACACCTGCTGCCTTTCTGCATCAGAGTATTGCTCTTGTCTTCCAGTAGAAGGTCAGGGGAGAGAAAATGGCTAATTGGGCCCAATTTGGACATTTTCACTTAGGGGTGTACTCACTTTTGTGGCCAGCGGTTTAGACATTAATGGCTGTGTGTTGAGTTATTTTGAGGGGACAGCAAATTTACACTGTTATACAAGCTGTACACTCCCTACTTTACATTGTAGCAGTGTCATTTCTTCAGTGTTGTCACATGAAAAGATATAATAAAATATTTACAAAAATGTGAGGGGTGTACTCACTTCTGTGAGATACTGTATATGTGTGTGTGTGTACAGGTATATCAATAGTGATTGTTGCATTGTAAAAACCTATCCATCTCCACTCCCCTGATCCCTAAACCCACCCATCTCCACCCCTAAACCTACCCGTCTCCACCCCCAATCCCTAAACCCACCCATCTCCACCCCCTGATCCCTAAACCCACCCATCTCCACCCCCTAGATGTGGATCCAACCACGTCCCCTGGATCTTGTGTTCTGCAGTGAGGGGCTACTGCAAAAAACTCAGACATTTCCTGAAACATCTCCTTTTATGTTCCACAGAAGAAAGTCATATAGCTTTAGAACAAAATGAGGGTGATGGGCGGGTTATCTCTTTAAAAGTGTTATTTATAACTGTTCTGTAATGTTCTGCAGCTCAGTGGAGCATCTTTGCCTGAGTGGGGTTTCAAACAGCTGGAGGTGGTTGGGGATAAGGTTTATAAAGGTTACCAGCAGAGCGGCATGTGGAATGTGGAGGAGCACCGCTATGGCCGAAGTATGAGAAATAACATCTCTATATGTTTTCATATTCCTTATGTCTTCTTTCTTTGATTAAAGACACATCTGTACAGGTCAGGAACAGAAGGAAAGGGAGTTGGAGTTGAAATCACCTACACACAGCGACATCAAGAGAAACCTCACTTTTATGGCCAAATGTCTTGAGCTGCAGGTGAATATTAAATATGAATAATGGTCCTGATGTCAATCATCAGAAAAGCCATTTAGAGCTGGTGTTGTATGTTTGAGTAACAGTGGAAGATGCTGACAGTAAAGAATGAAGAGTCTGAGCACAAATATAGTTCATCACCTCTTGAATGGATCACAATGGACACCAACATTGCATACTGGCTTCATCCTTCAAGTAATGTATGTCAACATCATTCTGTTGGTTTTTCTTTTATTTCTTTGTGTTTGACAGAATGAATATGAGGCTAATCTAATCTGTGCTATGTTTAATACAGGCACAAATTCAGCTGATTGGGAATATTGTTAATTGGACCATTGCAAACCTTTCACTGGTTGTTTACTGTCTTATGATTCTAACCTACTTACCAAGACGACGGAGGAAAGTTGAAGACATTCCTCAAGGTTTGTGCTTGGAAGTACTGCCATATGATTTGATCTGATTGTATCATTCATGTCTGTTGCACAGACAGTGAGGGAGACGTTGCACAAAGTTCAATATTGGGGATAGAGTTTATTCTCTGACATTAACTGTGAGCAATAATAATAGAGATGTTTGCTTCACCATCACCTTTAATAAACTCTTCTTTTCCCACTTTTTCTTCTCTCTTAGACTCTTGGGAACAGCTGGTTTTGGCTGGTGTCATTTGTTTTGGAGGCTGGGCAGTGAATTACCTGCCATTCTTCCTAATGGAGAAGACTCTGTTTCTGTATCACTATCTTCCAGCACTCACCTTTAAGATCTTGCAGATACCTATAGTCATAGAGCACCTGTACATCCATGTATTGAGGTAAGAGTTCTAATTTCTAAGATTTTTAATGTTTTAGAAAGACGTGTCTTATGCTCACCAATCATAAAAACAGTGCAAACAGTAATAATGTGAAATATTACAATTTACAATAACTGTTTTGTATTTGAATATACTGTTCAGCAGTCATTACTCCAGTCATACGATCCTTCAAAAATAATTCTAATATGCTGATTTGCTGCTCAAGAAACATTTCTTATCATTGTTGAGCACAGTTGTACTGCTTAATATTTTTGAGCAAACAATGATACATTTTTTTTCCAGGATTCTTTGATAAATAGAAAGTAAAAAAAAAAAATTATTTATAAGTTTATAAAGCATTTATTTTAAATAGAAATCTTATATGACATTGAATATTTTTTGGTTAATTACATACAAGTAAATAAATACAAGTATTGATTTGTTTAAAAAAAATGTTACTAACTCGAAACTTTTGAATCATGGTGTATGTGAATGAAACCTGTATCTTTATCATTGTGTCACTCCAGTGTAAATAACTGTCTATGCTCGTATCTGTATGTCATTCGGTTTCTCAGATCCCCAGCTCAAAGGAAAGCATTTGGTGGTGTTATTCTGGCAGTCCTTTGTTCAGTATACATGTCCTACCACAACTTGAGTCCTCTAACCTACGGCCAGCCAGCATTATCGTCAGACGAGCTTGCTGCACTGCGCTGGAGAGAGAGTTGGGATATTCTCCTAAGGAAACGCTGAAATCCATTTTTTTTTCTTTAAGAATGGGAGCTTCAGTAAGTTCATGATGATGTCAAATCTAAAGCCAAGGCAGCTGGTAGTGTGAAATACGGTTTCTAGGGTCTAGAGTACCCAAATTTAAAAATGTGAAATACTCTTTAATGAGAACTCATGCTGCTCAATCTCAAAACTCTAAACCAAATGGACTGTAAAGCACTATTTAGTGCTTAATTTATCATGCTCTTATGTTTACATATGTGACCCTGGACCACAAAACCAGTCTTAAGTCGCTTGGGGATATTTGTAGCAATAGCCCAAAATAAATTTGTATAGGTCAAAACTCGAAAAGGCGATTTTCTCAGTATTTCGATTTTTTGCACCCTCAGATTCCAGATTTTCAAATAGTTGTATCTCGGCTAAATATTATCCTATCCTAACAAACCATACATCAATGGAAAGCTCATTTAGTCAGATTTCGGATGATGTATACATCTCAATTTCGAAAAATTGACACTTAAGACACTTGTGGTCCAGGGTCACATATTATTCTGTTTGTATGGCAATTTTATTGTATTGTTTTAGAGACTTGTAAAACTAATAAGATGGGTTGCATTTATTAGAATTTGCTTTTATTTAATCCTTGCACAACACTAACCAATTAAACTTGAAAATATGGAATAAACATTTTTTATATCATCAAACTTTGTATTAGCCTATTCATAGCAGCCATTATTTTAATCCTTGCATGAATCCAACAACATGGAACAGATTAGCGTGTAAATGTTGAGTTAGCACAGTTGAAAGACAAGTCCATGTAGTGTCCCTTCTCTTTGAGGGTGTTTAATGCCTCTGCTTATATTGTCAGTGTTCATAAATGTCTCACGGTCATTCAGAGTTGAGTGAAGCGAGGGTTTTTAGCTGACTCTGCCAGTGGTCATTCCACAGCTGCAGCTGTCTTTCCTGAGCGTCACACTCTCGCTGGGCTTTGAACAGCTCCTCCTGAACCCTCTGCCCATAGTGCTGGGGGAAGATTAACAGTTGCAAAAGATGAACACTAAAAATATATATTTACGTATGTTCGTATTCTTTAGTTCATCCAAAAATGAAAATTGTCATCATTTACTCAAGTTGTTCCAAACCTGTATGAGTTCCTTTCTTTTTACAGTTTATGGTAGCCATTGACTCCCATAGTATGGAAAAAAAAAATACTATGGAAGTCAGTGGCTACTGTCAACTGTTTGGTCACCAACATTCTTAAAAATAACTTATTTTGTGTTCAACAGAGTAAAGACATTCATACAGGTTTGGAACAACTTGAGGGTGAGTAAATTATGACAATTTTTATTTTTGGATGAACTATGCCTTTAAAATTCAACCTGCAGGTCTTTAGGTGCAATCCAAAATTAAAACCAAAAAAGCTACAGCTTGCAAATTATTAATGCATGATGTGTCAGGCCTCTGAATGGATGAACTAGCATCTGTCGCAGCCTCATTTGATCTGTAGGTACTTTACAGCTCCAATATAGTTAGATACTGTTGTAAAGGCTAGTACATAAAGCTCATTTACAGCTGTTGTATGTTGGTCCTATTGTACTAAGCACAAAAGTCTGTTTCATGCGCTTATCAGGCACGTTTAGACAAGAACAAATGCTATATCCAACTCATCTGAAATGAACTTGCCTCATGCACTGCGTCTCGCTCCTCAATGGCCTTAAGATGCCCTAGTGTGGTTTTAGCAGTTGTGATGGTGGCCGTTTCCTGAGATTGTTTATGAAATGAGCTGCCATCAGTGGATCCAAAATAACAAATGCCTGACCATGTTCTACAAAACAACACATGCAATTCAGCATTTAACATTCATAATGTCCCATATAAAATTTAAAGAAATGGTGTTTGAAAGACATCTATTTTGAGTACAATATTTCCACACCTGCTGCCTTTCTGCATCAGAGTATTGCTCTTGTCTTCCAGTAGAAGGTCAGTTTGTGTTTGGCGGATGAGTGTAGTAATATTCGCTTTCTTTTGTTCAGCATCTGCTTTTCCAAAGGACATTCACGTTTGAGTCAGTAAATGAATGATTATTGTAAGGAGTGTTACAGAACATTGTCTTTGTAAGTAACGTGTTGCACTATTGTGTGACTCGTAATAAAAATAACCAGTTTCATTATTACTTTTTATGGAAAGTATGGTTTTTAAAAAGTTTTTTTCCCACATTTATAAATCTGTCAACAAAAGAAAAGTCTCATTGCAGTTTCCCGTCAAAATAAAAGCTTTATGATTATTATAATTTTATAGCCATATTGCATAGGGAAATACAGGTTCCTTCTTTTTTTTTTTTTGTCCTTAGCTGATAACATGCCTGAGAGACCTATTCACACGGAAAAACAATGCAATAAAATTGTGCATAAATTGTGCATATATGTTCAACATATACTAATACTTCTTTTTTCAGCAAACACTTGCATTAAAAAAATCTGATAACCTATTGCCTATAATTATATTCATATTGCTTATAATGCGACAACACCAACACTGATCGTAACCATATCAAACCTTTGCTGTAGCACATCTACATTTCCATCCATTAATTCATAAACTTACATCCCACTTGAACCTCATGAATGGTTATGAGGTTATCGAATTGGAAGAGTAAGGTCTCTGCCAACCTGGCAAGAGCAGTGACAAATTCTTCTGCATTTTTGAGCGCACAGGCCTGTCCAGAAACAAGAAGACCAAGTTGAACTTTTGTGATTTTTAAAACAAATTTCTTGAGTTAAAGCACCAAGTCTGTGACCTGAACTTCCTGTCTGGTATTCTGGATGGCTTGTTTCTGCTTTGTCTGTCTCTCCTCCTCAGCCAGCACCAGTTGCTTCAGTTCTGTCTCACAGGCCGGATGGCTCAGACGCACACTCAACTGACCACTGTGCTCCCTCTATGACAGCAGGCCACAAAATAGGACAAACCTGGTGATCTATTCTTTATGAATAGCTACAGGTTCATGTGTGCAATACTTTGCAAATATCTGAAGTAGATAATAGTACTCTTTCACTGTGACAGTTTAAAGCCTTCTTCCTCAGAGTGACTACATGGGAGGAACTCGATAGGACAGGATGATAGAATAATTTCCTCTGCTCTCACCTTTGTTCTGCATTTGTTCACATACCCTCTTTTGTTCACGCTGCTGCTGAGCTAGTTGAAACTGGTGTTGAATATCTTTCATGTTTTGCGTCAGCTCCTCAAGGTATTGTTCTCTTAGTTTAGAAAACAGCTTCTCTGGTACGCTGCACAAAAACTCTTCAATGGTCTTCAACTGCAGCTGAAATTCTACAGAGTGAAAAGTATCACTTATTGTCATAAAAATTAGAAATGCCCATTGTTTTGTCTTGTAATCAGATCTCTGTTATTGTTATTATTACAGGGTTGCAAGGCATCCTATGGTACTGATATTTCAAAACATTGTATTTTCCAAACCTGTATGAGTATTTTTCTTCTGTTAAACAAAAAAGAAGATATTTTGAAGAACAGTTGCTGGTCCCCACTGACATTCATAATATGACAAAAATACTACGGATGTCAATGGGGTCCATAAACTGTTTGGTGCTACCCACATTTTTCAAAATATCTTCTTTTGTGTTCAGCAGAAGAAAAAAAAATCATACAGGTTTGGATCAACTTGAGGGTGAGTAAATGATGGCAGAAACAGTGACCTTTGACGTCAGACTTAAGTGAATAGTGTCATCAAACTGATAATAAATGCATATTGCATTGTAACTGGTCAACTTTTTTTGCCTATTTTTGTAAGTAACATTTTGGACAATATCTCATGGGTTAACCTTGCAGACAGCTGTTGTGGTAATCATGTGACTGGCTCTGGTAGATAAGAAGTCTTTTGTGCATCTCCTCTGCACACTGATCAAATGTCTCCTGCAGTTGCTCAGGCCGAGTGATAGAGCGGCGCTCTTTCTTCTTATAGAACTCCTGATGGTGACACATACAGGTAACTCAGTCCAAAATCAATTGCTTTAACATCTTATTTACATAAACCAGATTGACTTTCTTAATATTTTTTCATAGTACCTCTGCCACCAAGAGGAGAATATCATTGGCTTTCCACAGAATACTGGTGATCGAGGCTTTAAATGGAACACTGAGAAATGCAAAAATATTCAGTGAATATTAAATTAACATGAAAATAAAAAGTTATAAAATAACAGCCAGCAAATGCACTGACCTGTCCTGCTGCTCTTCAGGTTTTGAGCCAAAAATAAGGAACTTCTTATCAAAGCGATTGGGTTTGGAGAATCTCCTTAAACTGACAGAAATGTTTCAAAGAAATTATAAAACATTTTGTATCATAAATGTCCATTTTATATGCTATCTATTACAGCTCGTTTTCTATGTGCTCAGATTACACAGAGAATAATATAGAATACTATATTACTACATTACCACCAGAGGAGAGACACAGCCACTTCTCTAATGGTATTTCCTAAATTTCTTTCTCTCTTGTCATATTTGAAATGTCAAACCTTTGGGTGGTCATTGACTCCACTGACTTTCTGCGCAGAGTCTCTATTCCAGACTGACTTGGGCTCTTTCCTGACCTCCAATCTGATCCAAGAGGGGAGTTTAACCTTGCTGAAGGCGAAGAATTTACAATATTTCAAAGAAACCACAAAATCTAGGCACAGATGAGTGTAAAAAGGCAAACTAATAACACCACAACAACCGTATTACTGTAAATGATGAGGACACATAAACAATCCAACCTGCTGAAGAGCGTCTTTCTATTGGGTCAAAGTTTGCCTCCTTGAGGTCTTGTGATTTGCCTACCCTGTTAGCAGGAAACAGACATTATGTATGTCATGAGAAGTAGTTTATTTCCTCATTTTTTTAGTTTTCATTTTACCTAGACGTCACGTGTTCCTGTTTGAGAGCATTACAAATAGTCGCCCAAAACAGAACTAATGACACAAATGAACTGAATGAAAAATTGAATCACTTCAGTGGAATTGAGTCACTTATGTCAACAATGTTGGTGAACACTAACTTGAGCAGGCCTTTGATAACCCCCACCGCCGCATCATCCAGGAAGGACACTCCGATGCGGCTAGGATGGAGCAGGCCGTCTCCATCTGGACTGCCTGTTTTTTCCTGTATACGGGACCTAGGGCGAGCTGCAACTGCAAAAGCCCCCTGAAGTGGAGTCTGTGGTCGGGGAACAGCCATAGAGGCATCCTATAAAATATATCAAACTATTATCATCCATTTCTATAGGGATTACATTTCAATATGCCTATAGCATCAGAATGTGTAATGCCATACCAAGAAGCAGTCAAGGTACTGACACCTCTTCTTTAGTTCCTCCATCAAAGAAGTTGTTAAACTGCTTATCTCCACTATGGTTACAATCTACAATACAACAATAACGTTTTCTGTAGACCAGTATTATAATGTCATAAAAGTGATTCTAATCATGTATTAGGGCATTTACCTTCTTATTGGACCTGGGTTGGTCATAGTCAGCATTCATTTCCTTTAAATTACTCAGCATGCTGTCAATCGCCTTTTTCTGCATGTTACTCTTAAAAGCCTGAGCAGACAAATACAAATTCAACATATTATGAACAGCAGACAGAGGGAAGGAAATGAAAGAAGTTAATATCCTAATGATTTTTGGCATTAAAAAAAAAAATCAATAATTTTGACCCATACAATTGCTACAAAATATACCCCAGCGACTTAAGACTGGTTTTGTGGTCCAGGATCACATATTACCATTTTATAATGCTGGATTACTGTAATGAGAACCACATTTTCTGACCTATTTGCTCATTGATGACAGACAGTGCTGAATACCACTCTGCAACTGATGACTTTGAGATTCCTGGAGGCTTCATGTCTCTTGATATGGAGCAGAAAATGTAAGTAAATGTTACGTTAACTAACATTCACTGAGGAAATGGCGTGCAAGACTAGAAATCAGTGTTTCATTTCTCACCTAATCATCTCCAGCGTTTGGATGCGTTTATCTCTCTCTGTTTTCTGATCTGACTTCAAAGTGCTCAGAGTATCTTGAATGTTTTTAGGGCTCTGAATGTGAGGGCTGTTAATAACGTCTCTGCAGGAAGAACATAAATATGGGTATATGTTGTATTTTAGATAATATCATTCCCCTGTACGATATTCCGATGGCCCTGGTAGGATTCTTAACTATCGTAACCAGCAAAACTCCCTTTGACTGTAATGAGAACCACATTTTCTGACCTATTTGCTCATTGATGACAGACAGTGCTGAATACCACTCTGCAACTGATGACTTTGAGATTCCTGGAGGCTTCATGTCTCTTGATATGGAGCAGAAAATGTAAGTAAATGTTACGTTAACTAACATTCACTGAGGAAATGGCGTGCAAGACTAGAAATCAGTGTTTCATTTCTCACCTAATCATCTCCAGCGTTTGGATGCGTTTATCTCTCTCTGTTTTCTGATCTGACTTCAAAGTGCTCAGAGTATCTTGAATGTTTTTAGGGCTCTGAATGTGAGGGCTGTTAATAACGTCTCTGCAGGAAGAACATAAATATGGGTATATGTTGTATTTTAGATAATATCATTCCCCTGTACGATATTCCGATGGCCCTGGTAGGATTCTTAACTATCGTAACCAGCAAAACTCCCTTTGCCAACTATTTTCATCAGACAGATCATGCACTTTGTTGGTAAACAGTATGGCATTCTTTTTCTGTCAAGGGAATTTTCACAATTTTGTAACATCAGACCTACCTGAACCGGGTAACTGCGTCATTAAGTTTTATTTGTTTCCAATCTTGGAGCTTTTCCTCCCATCTCAGCCTTTGGAAAATGTCCATCTGCAAATGTTTCTCCATCAAATTCAAGCACAGTTTGGCCAAAGCACGTCGATTTGCTAGCAGAGCTTGGTTTATCATCTGTGGAAAACATGGATTCTTGATGAAAGAAAAAAAAACTACTGAAAACATACAAATACGTATTTGTCATGTGGAATAAACTACCATTGCTTCACTGTCAATCAGTCTGTGGACATCACATGGCATCAAATAACTGATTTTCTCCAGTTTTGTGGTGGACTTTCTCAATAATGCTGAAATCTAGGAAAGAGGGGCAAATAGGCAGTGTACTACTCTACTGACTCTGGGAACATATGCTTTACATAATATAGACCACATACCATAGCTTTTCTCTCAGATTCATATTTGGCATATATCTCATCTAGCTCTTTAATCCACTTTCTTTTCAAGGAAGATTCATAGCAGACTTTGTTCCAGATGTCATGCATGTCCTTTATAAGACAAAGGATGAATAACACTTGAGTGATCCTAAACTCATTTACTTACAAATACTGAATTTGACAAATTGCAAGTATTGTATACGACATTTGGTCCTCACCTGATAGCTGTGTGCTGTCAAATCAGAGATGTTTTCAATCTTTTGCATAAGGTTTTCAATATTGTCATTATGCTCTGACAATCTGAGAAGGATATCCTTTCCTGTCTGTCTGAATAATGGTTCAAAACCCTAGACGCAGAAATATCACGATATAAGGCACCTTTGAGAGATATAATTAGCATGGCATAGTGATTAAACTGTAGATGGACAATAGATTAACTGGACTCTACATAAGAATAAACACATTTTGGCACTACATATATAGATGTGTGTACCACACTGATGCTGGAGAGTTCTGTCTGCAACTGACAAACAGCTTCGTTGTGATCCCTTCGCCTTTTCTCTGCAAGACGATCAATGATGTCTGAGGTTTTTTTCTCTGGAACTCCAGACAAAACAGAATCACAATAGATTGATTTTTTTCATTGTCAATTTTATATTATACAATATATTTATTATTATTGAAAAGAAATTTGGCAAACATGCCTTATTATGAGTTTATATGTCTTATATAGTTTCTTTGACTGAAAATTAACAAATGCTGGTTGAACAAATGTTTATTTTGCTTACACTACCATATAAAACTTTGGGGTCAGTAAGATTTTTTATTATTATAATTTTTTTTAATAAACACTTAAGTAGCAAGGACACACTGACAGTAAAGACATTCATAATGTTACAAATCATTTTAAATAAATGCTGTTCTTTTGAACTTTCTATTCATCTAACAATCCTGAAAAAAAACTATTATGGTTTCAACAAAAATATTAAGCAGCAACAACTGTTTTCTAATTGATATTAAGATGTGTTAGTCTGTTGTTGGCCTAGGAAATTAGAACGATTCATATTAGAGCGATTTATGTGATGCTGAAGACTGGAGTAACGGCTGCTGAAAATTCAGCTTTGTTAATAATATTTTACAATATTACTGTTTTTTGAACAAATAAATGCAGCCTTGGTGCGCATAAGAGACTTCATTCAAAAACATTTAAAGATATCTTGCTTTTCAAAAAGAGAACATGTATTACAAACATTTATTGTCTCCTATTCCTATGTTTGGATGTACAGGTAACACTTTATTTTATGGTGTCCTTGTTACACGACATGTTTCATGCACTATTACTAAGAGTAAATTATTTATAATTACAAGCAACTAACCCTAATCCTATAACCTATATAGTAAGTACATGCTGTTAACATGCATTATTATTACTCGGTACTTATTGGTGTGATTACACTGTAACAAAAATGCCATGAAGAAAAGAAAAGAAAAGAAAAGACTCTATGTTGCAAACAGTTATCACTAAGTTCTCACCAACAGTGTCTGGAAGACCCCAAACCTCCTCACTATCATCCTGGTCCTCATTTCTTTCACCACCAGAGTAAAGTGTGTTCCTATCAAACAGGGAACTTTTAATGAGTAGTAACGTCTTTAAATTCAAATTAAATTCGTATCTTGAGCAGCAGCAGCAGCATCTTACCGTGTGGCGATGTTGATCGTCCCATTGAGCTGCTGTGATGCGGAGTCCGCCGCGTCTCCACTGAGCAGACCGTCGCCCTCATCCTCGACGCGCTTCCTCCGCGAGTCAAAGAGAGCCAGAGACAGCTGAACCTGACCACGAACACGAACACATCAACATACGCCCACAGCTGCCTTCAGGCCAGGATTTTGCATCCAAAATTATCCGCAATATTACAAACATCAACAATATGTAAAAACGCACATTTATCGTTCAGACACTACGAATAATATTACCTGAGCGTCAAACATCTGCCGGTAAACTTTACCACTGGGAAGCACACGGGTGTCGGCCATTGTAGCTACGGAATAATATGCTTATTTTTCAGTCAAAATAAAACTATATCGAAATCAGTGCTAAGTTATAGTACGGCTGGTCCATTATAAGAGTTTTCAATACAATTATCTGCGTATTATGCAAACACAAATTACGGTGTTCTTAACTCATGGAAGCGTTCACTCAGGCCTTCACTCAGCGTTTTCTTGTTGCTATGGCAGCCACACAGGTGACGCCGGTGAAGTAAAAAAGTCCAACCAACGGCGAGGTCAAGTGTGTTCGGTCCAATCAATTTTTCATTCAAACGTAGTAAAAGAAAATTCGTACATATTTAGTCAAACATTTTTTTTATTTTTCCGTTGACAACAAAACAGTTATATATATATAATTTCACCAAAAAGTTAATAGAAAATAATTAGAATATCCCATTCACATCGTTTCATATAGTATCATTCATGCCCTTATATGAGAAACGTTCATATATTCATATACAGTGCATATTTTTAGGGTAAATTCATTTTTAAAAATCATTGACATCATAGTTTCTGCACATACTGTAATGACTTGGGTATAAAAAAAAATTATTCAAACATTTCCAGTTTTTGCTCAACAGAACAAGATATACATAAAAATATATTTTATATTTATTATATTATATATTAATAGACAACAGAAAAATTGTCAGATCAGACTCATGACAAGTGATTGACTGGACATACTTTAACAGTGAACACTATGATATTGATATGATGTTAATCAGGTTTTATGGGTCACTGGATGCAGAACATTTTAATATGCCTTCAAAGGCCACATTTCGTCTCCTTGTCCAAAGCTGTATGTCACATCCCGTCCGTATCACTCCCAGTAGTGTTGTCCAGTATGCACTGCACACTCTCTTTGTCTGTGAATTTTTTGGTTCTTAAAGCACGTTTCCTGTCCAAGACCACATTAGGAGTATTGCTTAGAAACAAATCATTCCATTACATTAATATCTGAAATATATTCGTAGCTCTGCTTCAATGGTTAATTCCAATGGTTAAATTGTTGTTATGAAAAAATAAAAATAAAAAACCAACCTCCTATAGTGAAAGTTGCATTTTCCTTTAAGTCTGCAGTTAGCTGATATGCCCTCCTCAGAGAACATCCTCTCTGAATACTGCAAACATGAAATATGCATTAAAAAATGAAGCCACTATCACTGTATGAATAAGCATCCACAACAAAGATACCTACATTGTACTCTCCAGATGTCTGGCTCTGTGACCCTTCACTCATATCTGTGCGAGGAAACAGGAACAATGTTTAAAAAACAAGAATAATCTTTTTTGCACGAGATCTGATGGAGAAAATCGGAGAACGTTACCCTTTTCACCCCTTTCCCTGGACTCCTCCTCACTAGTCTGACTTTTCATCTGTGGACAAAATGCAAGCAACCCTGTTGATGACTAAAAAGAATACAAACCAAATGCTGTGGAGAACAATGCCACTTTAAGATGAGAAAGACAACAGAAATATCTTATTTCTGAAGTGTTTGCATTTAAATGTTTAATAGAGAGTTATATAAAATTACCTCAAATGAACTCAGCAAGGAGCTTTCTTCTGAGTTCTGAGGAATCAAACACATCATAACAAATACTATTCATTATAAACCATTACCCTGTGATCATGCATTTTGTGCCTAAAGATAATGTGCTTACATCAGAGTGATACAACAGGAAGCACTTGAACTAAATAATGACTCATCTATTCCATTCACACGTCACACTCACTCTGTGTAGTATACATTTCAAGTGTACATACCATTTGAATTGGGTTTTTCTGTTTGCGAAGCTTTGACTGAAGAGCAAGAACGTCTCCTTGAGTTCGAAACAAATGGACTTGAAGTTCATCATAACGCTCTCCCATCTCCCGGATCTGTTTGCGGTACTGGTCTTTGTCTTGGAGATTTTTTGAGTTCTCCAAATGGTACTCCTCTCTTGTACAAATAGCCTATTAAAAGGGCAGTGCCATACAACTGTTGTGGTTAATGTGATACATACAAAAGATACATTGAATAAATCTCAATAAAGATTGGCATTTCTTTATCTGATGCAGATGTGACCAAACTAGTTTGAGGGCTGTGGGCCAAATTATATCCAACTATATTATATTCAAATGTAAACTTCTTAATCACATTTATATTTTCTACATTTCAGTGCAAAAATAAAATATGTTAAAAACAAAAAGATAAGTTACAAATGAAGATATGCTTTAATGCCATGTTTGTGATATGGATTGTGGGACAAATCAAAAGATGTCACAGGGCAACTTTGTGTTTGTGCATTTCTGATCTAATGTAAAATGACCATAAAATGTACCACATTATGTTGCTATATGCTTTGTCATGCAAAGAGGAAAGTAAGGTACCTTGTCTCTTTCTTTGATGACTTCTTCCAGCTGCTTCAGAATGTCTTCCATTCGGTCACGGTACATTTTCGAGTCCTTTTTTAGCATTATGCACTTCAGTTCTAACTCATCCTTCTCCTCTCGATACTTAAATTTAAAAACAGAATTATATAAAAAAAATATATACATACATTCTACATACACACACACATGCACGCACATATATATATATATATATATATATATATATATATACACAGTGGGTAAAATAAGTATTGAACACGTCACCATTTTCCTCAGTAAATATATTTGTAAAGGTGCTGTTGACGTGAAACTTTCACCAGATGTCGGTAACAACCCAAGTAATCCATACATACAAAGAAAACAAAACAAGTAAGTTCAGAAATTAAGTTATGTGTAATAAAATGGAATGACACAGTGAAAAAGTATTGAACACACATATATATATATATATATATATATATATATATATACACAGTGGGTAAAATAAGTATTGAACACGTCACCATTTTCCTCAGTAAATATATTTGTAAAGGTGCTGTTGACGTGAAACTTTCACCAGATGTCGGTAACAACCCAAGTAATCCATACATACAAAGAAAACAAAACAAGTAAGTTCAGAAATTAAGTTATGTGTAATAAAATGGAATGACACAGTGAAAAAGTATTGAACACATGAAGAAAGGGAGGTGCAAAAAAGCATGGAAAGCCGAGACACCAGCTGAAATCTATCAGTAAATAGAAAGCAATCCTGCCACTAGTCAGTGGAAGTTAATATTAGCTGGTTCAGTCCCAACACCTACAGTACCAGGATGATGAAGATGAAACAAGGGTGGACATTTCAGCAAGACAATGATCCCAAACACAGCCAAGGAAACTCTCAGCTGGTTTCAGAAAAAGAAAATAAAGCTGCTAGAATGGCCTAGCTAATAAACTGACTTGAATCTAATAGAAAATAAGAACTAAAGATCAGAGTTCATAGAAGAGGCCCACGGAACCTTCAAGATTTGAAGACTCTGTGGAAGTATGGGCCAAAATCACACCTGAGCAATGCATGCGACTAGTTTCTCCAGACAGGAGGCGTCTTGAAGCTGTCATTACCAACAAAGCCTTTTGTATGAAGTATTAAATACATTTCAGTAGTTCAGTACTTTTTCCCTGTCTCATTCAATTTTAATAGACACATTATTTAATTTCTGAACTTATTTGTATGTATGGATTACTTTTTTGATGTTACCGACATCTGGTGAAAATGTAATGTCTTCAGCACCTTTAGAAATATATTAACTGGGAAAAATGGTACCGTGTATTAGGCATTCTTGTTCATATTTTGATTAGTGTAGTCTAATGAGACTGATTTACCTTGGAAGCACTTTCCAGCTCCTGTATGCGAGCTGTAAGGAGGTCATTTTCTCTCTGCATCTGCCAGATCAGCTCAGGACTTGGCCTCTGCTCCATCGCATTCTTCAAGGTTATTGTTTTTTTCCGTTGGATCTTCGAGTCACTTTCTGCATTCATTAAGTTGTGTTTCAATTTCTCAATCTTACAGAAAGGATCAAAGAGGGAGAAAAGGAAATATGAAAAGAGAAAAGATCAAATTTAAAGAGAAAAACAAAGAGAAAAGATCATAAAATTACATTTGAACAAAAATAAAATAATATAATCTAATACTTTAGAAAACGAATCGTCTACTTTCTTCAACTTTGCCCTTCTGTAGACATAGACATGCTACAGGGATGACATATTTTGTAGGCCAAAACTCAGTAACAAGTTGGAGCTTATGGTTCCGTTTTAATTTTTGGGTGAACTAACCCTTTAAGATTATAAAACGTGGAAGAATGATAAACTTTTGTTGGTTGTTTCTGCAACGATTCAAAAGCCAATGGAAAAATTGGTCCTATTGGGACCTTGCTGAGGGAACCAGAGTGAAGAAATGTACCGTTCATTTCTTATTTCTTTTGTGGTGAACTAAAACCCAGACATGTTTTTGAAAGGTTTTCTTGATCACCTCGAGCTGGAGGTCTCTGTTACACATGAGTGCGCAGTTCTTGTCCTCACTCAGTCGGGTCAGGTCGTGCATCAGTCGGTAATTCTCGTCTCTCAGTTTACGCGCCTCCTCGCACATGCGCTCGCGCTCCTCTCGGATGCGCTGCACGCGGTCCTGCTGTTTGTGCAGCTCGCTCTCACACAGCTGCAGCTGGCGGATGGTGTCTAGCTGCTCCGCCGCCTGCGCAGACACTTCGAGTCGCATCCTCCGTTCGTCCTGTGCGAGCTTCTGTAGGCGAGAGACCTCGCTCATGAGGAACTGAGTGAGGCCACATTCACCGGCCGTGTCTGGGTGAACAGACAGAGAAAGAGAGAGTTCTGTAAACCAGAGGTTTGCATACAGAAACCATCACAGTCAACATTTCTAGCTGTGCTTGCACCTTAAGTATAAAAAGCACGTTTTTATCTGTAACACAATATAATAACTTTAATCTAGAATAGTAATTTAGTATTACTACATTTTATTAAACAGTTTGTTTCAAATTGAATTAATAGTGCAGCCTTCCAACAGCGCTGGGATTTGCACTGTTTGTATCACTCTTTCCATACAGACTGTCAGTCTGGACATTTGTGGTGGGGATTTTTCAGTGTACACTGTTACAGCAGGTGGTGGCATTGCAACAAGTGAGTGTCTTTAACAGCGCTTCCTTGAATCATTCATTCAACTCATTCATTCAACAGATTCATTCAAAATTGCATTCTTTCTTTTGAGTCAGTACTTTGCAGATCATAAAAAAAGCAGGTTCTGTATAGTATGAATGTGTGTAGTATGCAGTGCTGGGTAGCTTTTGACCTAACTCGTTTATTACACATACTTGAATGTGATTATTATATACCATATTGATAAAAAAAACCAGAAAGATAATCTATTCCATTCATTGTTATCAATATCGTGAAATGCATTAAACATTACATTACAGAAGGTTTTCGCAAACTGGGGTTTGCGAAAGAAAACTGTAGGGTGTTCATGAAAGGCTAATGATTAATGAAATTATAAAGATGTCAAAAGCCTGGGAATCCATACATTGCATGAACAAACATTAATTAACATGGAAACATGACATTTTATATTCTCTCTAAGGACCTCTTTTAGTACCCTCCAGAGACATGGTTAAAAATCCTGTGGCAATATATTACAAAGTCCTTTGGCCTATGATGATAGCAGTTTTCAGATTTTATTTGCATAAAAGATGTGGCTAAAATATTTTTTGTTCAACATCTTAAAAAAGTATACTAACCAACTGATACTTAATTAAAAATATACAACTTACCAATAAGTACGGAGAAGACCCTAGCAGGCTCTTTGCCGGTGATTTTGCGGTACACATCTGGGTAGTCTAGCTCCAAACTCTCTAGAAATGCCTCATATCCTTTGAGGCCAGTTCTTTGTAATATGTCCAGCAGCACTCCTATAAGCAAATAAAAAAACATTCCTGAACCATATAAATATCTAGAGACCCCTACGTGTATACTTTGAAAATAAGATAGAAAGCTTCAGATTATACAGTAACTAGCTTCAGATAATACAGTAACTATTTCTTTCAACAGTATTTACTGCATATTTATTGTTTGAAAACAGTTGAACCTTAGGTGGCCTAAAAACACTTACCAACTTTTCTACGCCTGATAACCAGACTGGGGTCATTGTAGATCTGTTCTTCGTCCTCACTGCTCAGCACTTTACACTGTCTCAGATAAGGTGTTATCCTTGAGGGCTCAATGGTCTTGATGAGAATCATTCTGTAGTCTTCCAGCCGTGCCCAGCACTCATCATCCTCCTCCACCTCAAAACCCCCTGGGCCATCAAACATGACTGACACTAGCTCTTTGTTAGCTTGAAAATAGTTGTTTGGTTGCCAGTTTTAAGGCTAAATGCGCATTACACATTCAGCTCGTCTGTAAACTCAAAAAGGAAATGAAGTTCACTGAGCTGAGTGGTGACATAAGTTCCCTTTTTCCAGCTGTCGTTGCAGTTTTTTTCAATTTCACAATACATTGTTGAGCTGCAACACACTTTCTGTGGTATTTGGTTGCAGGATGACTACATAATGAGTACATACTTTTCTGAAGAAAATATATAGTCAACCGTTATTAATATATTCAGTGTCTCTGTGATCTCAACTTGTGGCATTCCCTTGCAAGGCTTTCAGCTTCATGTAAAATACAACAGCTTCTATTAAGGATGTTCTCATCTCATGTGAAATGAGTTTGGTTTAAAAACCCAAGAAATTATGTACTTTTATTAAGTGGTATTGAATGTACAAAATAATTTATTATAAATTCATGATTTTTTTTAAAAGTTCACAAACTTCTAGATTCAGGTGTGGGTTGCACATTATGATCACATAATATAAAAGCATAACAAAATACAAATGCTTATAATATAAATGCACAAAAACAAACAATGACAAAACATTTAACATTTCTACAGAATATTCAAAAAGCAGTAACGAAAGTATATAATAATTTAATAGTAGCTCAGTGCAACCTTACCGAGTCTTGTTTATTTATAATTTTATTTCCAAAAAATTGTCAGGACACATACTGAATGTCCTTAAAACGTATGGATGGAGTAAACAAAATTAGAGCAATGAATATCTGACTGGTCCCTTTAACTGCAATTTTGATTTTTTTTTTAGTGGTACACATTTCTACAGGAATCGTGAACTGTACCAAATCTGAAGTTACTGGTACTCATTCAGATGATGAATCTTATGTAACTCAGTGTCGACTCCTTTGCCTTTTTGTACTGATTCCTGAGAACTGTTTTGCTGATGCTTCATTTTCATTTGTGTTAAGCTCAATCCCCTGAAAGATAGGGAAAATGCATAAATTATAAAAAAATTAATTAACAAACAAAACAAAGACTGCTTCAATGTTATGCGCAACTTACTGCAGCTGGTGGCCGAATCCTTTTTTTAATCTTTTGTAATAACAAGACCTCATCTTCATCACCATTGTTATCTGTGGGCAACTCATATTTCACAGAAGGGTTTATAGTGGCCAAAAGGGCTGGTAAAGTAAAGCACGACAAGAAACGAGCCTTCAAAAGCTGGTACGCTGGATTTGAGGCAAACCTTTCGGCAATCATTTTGCGGATGGCAGCTACTTGAGCTTCTTCCTCTCTATAGTTTTGATACTCAACTGGCAAGATATTCACTGCAGCTGCAAGCAGAGATTGTTTAACTTTGAGCAAAGAAGTCAGTGTTTTGATGCTGGTGGCAGATGGCGGAAGGTAAGGCAAAGACATCTCTAAATGAGTTAGTGGAATTCCACCTTTTCCATTCATCCAGTCATCTACTTCAGGTGACTGCTCAGGGAATATCAAGTGAGGATTAAAGCTAACAACATCAGAGGGAATGTCAGGAATAGGGAGCAATGGTTCACTTAATGTTCTGATTTGAGGTATTTCTGATGGAGCCACAATCCGAGCTGATGGAGCCACAGTCCGAGGTGGTGGAGCCACATTCTGAACTGATGGAGCTGCAATTCGAGCTGATGGAGCCGCAATCTGAGGTGGTTGAGCCACAACCCAAGCTGATGGAGCCACAGTCCGAGGTGGTGGAGCCACAATCTGAGGTGGTTGAGCCACAACCCGAGCTGATGGAGCCACAATCTGAACTGATGGAGTTGCAATTCGAGCTGATGGTGCCGCAATCTGAGATGGTGGAGCCACAACCCGAGCTGATGGAGACACAATCGGAGGCGATGGAGACACAATCGGAGGCGATGGAGCCACAATCGGAGGTGATGGAGACACAATCGGAGGGGATGGAGCCAC